AATCCACTTAAGTAAGCAGGCTAAGTGATTCTTAGCATTTTTAAATGTGTAAGTGTATCTGAGTTTATGTGTTATCTTTGCTTTGCTTCCCACCAAAGATTAAAAAGCAATGGTTGTTTGGGAGTTTGCCACTGGATTGCAGAAACTCAATTTTGAGGAGCTTACTCCACTGCACTTTACTCAATTTTTTGGGGTAGGTTTTTTGTGAACTTATTTTTAATATCATTTTAAAAGCAGCATCAATTTAACTTAAGTTATCACACCGCAAAAACATAACCTGATTAAAAAAACAATAAATTGGGCAACAATGAGATGGCATGGAATGGGATATTTGAGGGATCTTTTTCTGGTTACACCTCCCTGTTCTATCTGGTTCAGCAGGAAATGTATTTTGTGGGTCCTGTTAGCAGGGAGTTTAATCAGACAGGACCTAGGACAGTGGTTCTCAACCTGTGGGTCGTGACCCCTTTGGGGGTCAAACAACCCTTTCACGGGGTCGCCTAAGACCATCGGAAAACACATATTTCTGATGGTCTTAGGAACTGAGACACTGCCAAAGCTGCCACTGCCGCCTCAGGAACGCGCAGTGGACGAGCCAAGGAAAGGAACTGAATGAGGAAGGGGGCATGCCCACCTGCATGTTTGTGCGTGCGTTTGTGTAGAGTCGCTATTTTCAACTCCCAATATTATGAAGAAAAAAAAAGACTGACGTGAATAAAATGTGGTGGAAGACAAGCGCTGTGTGTGTGTGTGTGCAAGTGCACGGTGTTAATCATATTCTTTCCCTTATCATGCGCCTTGAGCTGCGACGCCAATAACCATCTGCTCTCAGTTTGTGACAAGCGGGGCTCTTCTCTCTTTTTCCATCCCTGCTTTGAGCGAAATATTGAAAACCGTACGACACCGAGAGGTGCATGTCCCACTGGCAAGGCTCAGGGGAGGCGCCAGGATCAGCACCCCTTTCTGCCTGATCGGTGCTTCTCCTAGACCGGGAGAGCTCAGGGGAAGTGACAGGATCAGCACCCCTTTCCGCCTGATTGGTGCTTCTCCGAGGCTGGGAGAGCTTGGCCCCTTTCCACCTGATCGGCACTTCTCCAAGGCTGGGAGAGCTCAGGAGAAGCACCAGGATCAGCTCCCCTTTCTGCCTGATCGGCGCTTCTCCAAGGCCGGGAGAGCTCAGGGGAAGCACCAGGATCAGCACCCCTTTCTGCCTGATCGGCGCTTCTCCAAGGCCAGGAGAGCTCAGGGGAAGCACCAGGATCAGCGTCCCTTTCTGCCTGATCGGTGCTTCTCCAAGGCCGGGAGAGCTCGGCCCCTTTCCATCTAATTGGTGCTCCTCCGAGGCTGGGAGAGCTCAGGGGAGGTGCCAGGATCAGCTCCCCTTTCTGCCTGATTGGTGCTTCTTCCAGAGCTGATCCTGGTGCTTCTCCTGTGCCCTGAAGAAGCACCAATCTCCTGGAAAGCGGCATTGACCCCGGTGCATCTGCTGAGCCCTGAAGAAGCGCCTATCACCTGGAAAGCAACATTGATCCGGGCCAGCACACTCGCACACACACAAACACGTGCGAGCAGTTACAGCTGAAGGCGTTTCAGCCTTCAACTATGGCTCCCAGTCCTCTGGCACCTCATTGGCTCAGGCCAGCCATCTGTCAGAATCTACATCCCGTGATTGGCTGGCTCCCTCAATGCTCCCTTGCAGAAAGAGTTTGGTTCTTCATGCCAGCTTGCCTCCTCGCAGGGCTCCTGATACTGTAGGCCCCGGTAGCCGGGAAGGCGCACCGGAGTCTCGGCTGCTGGTAAGGTGATCGATCCACTCCTCTCCCATTGTCCAATCTGCCCGGCTCAAGCCTGGCTGGAGCAGCCTTGGTGATTCCAAAGATGGCCACTTCAAAGTCACACGGGCAGCCTTCAGCCGCTCCCCTCCGCATCCCCAAATCGATCCCCAATTGGGGAGAGAGAGAGAGGGGGAGGGAAGGAGAGAAGGAGGAAGAGAGGGAGGGAGAAAGAGGGAGAAAGAGAGGGAGAGAGAAATAGAGAGGGAGAGAGAGAAAGGGAGAGAGGGAGGGAGAGAAAGACAAAGGAAGAAAGAAAGAGGAAAAGAGGGAGAGAGAAATACAGAGAGGGAGAGAGAAAGAGGGACAGCGAGAAAGAGGAAGAAAGGGAGAGAGGAGAGAGAGATAGGGAGAGAGAGAAAGAGGGAGGGAGAAAGAAAGGGAGAGAGGGAGAGAGAAATAGAGAGAGGGAGAGAGAGAAAGAGAGAGAGAAAGGGAGAAAGGGAGAGAGAAAAAGAAAGGGAGATAGAGAAAGAGGGAGAGAGGGAGAGAGAGGAGAGAGAAAGAGGGAGGGAAAGAGGGATAGAGAAAGAAAGGGAGAGAGGGAGAGAGAGAAATAGGGGAGAGAAAGGGAGAGAGAGGGAGAAAAAAAGAGAGAAGGAAAGAAAGAGAGAGGGAGAGAGAGAAAGAAAGAGGGAGACAGAGAGGGAGAGAGAAAGAGGAAGAGAGAGGTTAAATTAGTAACATGGTTGTTAAGTGAATCTGGTTTCCCAACTAACTTTGCTTGTCAGAAGGTTGCAAAAGGTGATCACATGATGCTGGAACAATGTGACCATCATAAATATGAATCAGTATCCAAGCATCGAAATGTAAATCACATGACCCTGGGGATGCTGCAATGGTCATAAGTGTGAAAAATGGTCATAAGTCACTTTTTTCAGTGCTGTTGTAACTTTGAACAGTCACTAAGCAAACTGTTGTAAGTCAAGGACTACCTGTACTTTATCACTTTTTTCCAATTTTTTTTTGGGGGGGTCAAGTTTTTGACACCTCACTAGGTGACTGATGGTACTTGAATGTTGCCATATTCTAAAAGTGGTACAATCGGTGAAAAGGTTGAAAAGCCCTGATCTAAATAATATTATCAATAGGAGTGAATCCACTGTTTTTCCAACAAGACTGGAAATACTTTTATTTTTAATGTGATAGTGTAATAAATTCTAATCCAGGAACTGTCAGTTTCATTGCTTAATTTTCTTTCCTTATCTTATCTTCAAACCCAGTTTGTTTTTGTGATTAATTATGCTTTAATGCTTTTGTGATTAATTATGCTTTAATTATGTTCAATTTGTAACAATGAAAATACATCCTGCGTATCAGATATTTACATTACAATTCATAACAGTAGCAAAATCACAGTTATGAAGTAGCAACAAAAATAATTTTATGGTTGGGGGTCACCACAACATGAGAACTGTATTAAAGGGTCGCGGCATTAAGAAAGTTGAGAACCACTGACCTAGGAGGAAAACCATTTCTGCCATGGAACACCATCCCCTCCCCCAAGGTGAGGCTGGCCCCAACCCTGCTGAACTTCCAGAAAGCCCTAATACTCTGACAAAATGGAGTCTGCTAGATGACTACAGGACAACTTAATGCAATTTTGCACATTTTGACACCATTCTGTTGTTTTAATTTTCTTTCATTGTGCTTGTATTTTTTAATTTCAATTGGATGTTTTAATGATTTTATATATTTTGATTGTTTTATTATGTATACCGCTCAGAGTCACTATGTGCAATGGGCAGTTATGCAAATGTGATTAAATAAATAAATGAATAAATAATATGAACAAGCAGCATTACTGGAGAAAGAGAGAAAAAGTAAGTGAAAAAAACCACACTAAAAATTGATAAGAGAAATCATGGACTGGTAGAATATTGTAAACAGAAAGGTCCTTTGCTTTGCAGATAGAAATAGAACTCTACAAATTCCCTTTCTAGAAATCAAAGCAATACAATGTACTCCCAAATATGATTAACTCCTAAAATTAAAAAAAATCTTGCCTTGCCATCACTATTACAACATTTGCAGAAAAGAGTTGTTCCAGTGTTGTCCAGTAATGCAAGTATGCTGGTCACATACAATTAATCCTAAAAAGACTCTAATAAACTGATTATTTTTCATTATTTTAAATTATCATCCGCCCCTACCAACATAGTCAGTTACAAAAAATGATGGGGGGAAATTATTTTAAAAATCTGGAAGAAACATATTGGTATATAAAATCTAATACATTAAATATATTAACAAGAAAGACAGGATTGAAGCATCATAGGAAAAATGATCTCTTAACTGAGAGAAGATAGATTTCTTCAATTTAATTTAAATGCCTGAGATAGCAATATTTTGCAAAAACTGTCAGTATGCAAGAACAGAGAGTTCATCACATATTTTAAGAATGTAAAACTTCTTAGAACACCTGAATATCTTGACTGGATTTCCTAAATACCAAAAAAAAAAAAACACCCTACCATATATTGGTAATCAAAAGTTAGTGTAATTACATCACATCTTTAGTTTAAATGCTAAGGAGAATCCCTTTGGTTGTCATGTGAGTTACAAGTAATTTAATTCAGGCTTTTTTAACTTGGACCCCCTCCATGTCCCTAAGGCTATAATTCTCAAATTCCCAGCCAGTAAAATCATATCAACACATCAAGTAGATAGCTGCAACCCTTTAGAAGCATTTACTTTTTGTCTATTAGTCTAAATGGCTCCAGAAAAACTATTCCTCATCCTAACACCTTCCCGATCTGATGGGTAAACATCTGGAAGGTGCCAAGTTGGGAAGCCTGGTTCAAAGTTCACTTTTGAAGAGGAAAATCTGAAAAAATGCCAGATGCAAAATGTAAATTATGAGTCCCATTCAAAGATATGAAATAAGTCATCAATTATAGCTATCTCTCTCCCTCTCTCTCTTCCCCCCTCTCTCTCCCTCTCTCTCTTTCTTCTTCTCCCTCTCACCCTCCCTCCCTCCCTTCCTCCCTCTCCCTCCCTTTATCCCATGTATGAATATATGTAAACTAAGTTCTTTAAACAGCTTTTACTTCTCATAACTATTACAGAATTACACTGAAAATTCAATTTCATTAATTACACTATGAATCATTCCTGTACTGTATTTAGTTACTTTACTATTTGGGGAAAAATGGAAAAATGTCCTACCTGGTCTGTATTCCCTAGTTCTCTTTTGTTTGCCTGTGGACCATGACAATTTTCTTTTGCAAATTTCTGGATAGGTTCGATGTGCCCAATATCTTCTCGTTCTTGAAGCTTGCACATAACTCCTGCCTTCAGTGTTGATGGAAAAGGAAAAAGATATTTAAATCCACAATCCCAGGACATGACACTCACAAACTTTTAACTTCACCAAAAACTCATCTTCTCCATTTCACCCTCTGAACTGTTCCAATTTTATGCTCAGCAAATCGTTTTTTCTTGCTAAAAAAAAAAAAACAGGCACCAAACAGTCACACAACTTTCTCCTTCTATGTGATGCTTTCTGCTTAACATAGCAGAGGCAATGTTGAACTAAATAAGCTGCTATTATGGATGCAGCTGATATGCAGGCAGTGCGTTTGTTCCCGTCAACTTGTTTCCTGTTACATAAGAGAACCACAGTAAAAGTTACAAATTCATTGGAAAGTTAGCCAAGAACAGCCCTGGAAAAGGATGGAGAGCAAGAAAGTCATTCCTAAAAATAACAGCACAAGCTTTTATTTCACACACTCCACCCTTTCTTTATGTATAACATATAACTATTAAAGTATGTTAGATAAAAAAAGACAAAAGATATGTATATTATAGGTATATGTATTTGATTTTTGTTGTTTCAGACATGACCGTCTATAAAAATAAATGTTTTGTATGAAGATATTATCAAGTATCTGTGAAAGATAACTAGCAGTATTTTGATACACAAATGTCTATGTGCAAACAGACACAATTTAAGAATCTAAAATATAAGTACATCTTTTCATATGGATAGCATAGTCATAAAGAACTTGGGCTTGCTACCATGAAGCTCAAAATTCAAGTTACCCAGTAGACTGCAGAGTTATAGGATGATTCTGAACAATTATTCTATCTTAGTCAATCTCACTTCAGAGGGAATGAAGAGAAAACTCCACCTTAAAATTATAAAAAGGCAGAATATCAGGGCTTTTTTTGTCATAGAACGCCCAGAACGGAGTTCCAGTACCTTTTTTGGATGGAACCTTGTAGGGTAGGGAAGGCAAGTTGTATGATGTATGTGAGTTCCGGCACCTTTTTTTTTTAACAAAAAAAGCACTGCAGAATATAAATGCAACAATAAAAAATAAAATTGTTCCAGAGGTTTTGCCCTCTGTAATTTAAATCAGATATGAGAAAGTAGTAAAATATGAGGAAAATGATACTTAACTGCGTTTAATTAAGAAATGCATTTTGTTTCTGTCATAATCCTGTTTACTCTTCGAAGTACTACAGAGTGTGGAAAACCAACTCAAAAATAAAGCCTATCCCAAAGTGTATGTGCCACCTTTTTGGAATCAAATGCCACAAGTGGATTTAGTAGTAAATCCTAATATGTCAGGATGTTTATGTTAAGTAGGATGAAGGGAGAATGGTTTGGGTCAAAAATGCAGAATGAATGTATTACAACTTGGTGCCCATCTTGTAATTATGACATCGTCCTGTAGTCATGTGATTGACACTTTCAACCTTATTTGACAACTTCCTACAAGCAAAGTCAATGAGGAAACCAATGGGAGGTCTCAAGCAGGGATTATATGACATGCTAACTTTGACCATTATTCACTTAATGACAGCAACCAGAAATGCAGTAATTTCTGTCTCTAAGCATTCCAGTTGCATGTCATGCTTTATTATCACATCGTGTAGCAACAAAATTCCAGACCAAATTACAATTGATAAGTGAAGGTTACTTGTTTTTCAAAGTGAAAATTTGAATATTTTGATTATAAAGTGAAAAAATGAATATTTTAAACAGATTTTCTGCAAGTTCATTCCCTACAAGATTACATTTATCCATTATTTCTTTATCCTGCTTTTAATCACTAATTATATCATAATAAAAATTAATAGTACTTGAATAGATTCTGAGGCTGAAGGAAAGGTGGCTCAAAGTCACCTAACTGCATGATCATTAATGTAAGCTTTAATTATATTGAAGAAATTGAATGTGTTATCCCATCTTTATTATTTTTATAACTAACACAAGGCGGCAAATGTATCTAATACTCCTTCCTCCTTCTATGTTCTCCATAGCAACAACCAGGCTTTTTTTCTCCTAGAACGTTCAGAACGGAGTTCCGGCACCCTTTTTGGATGGAACCTTGTAGGTGGGCAAGGCGGGTTGTATGACCTGTGTGAGTTCCAGCACTTTTTTTTTTTTTTTTAGAAAAAAAGCACTGGCAACAACTCTGTGAAGCCATTGGGCTGAAGCAGTGTCTGGCCCAAAGTCACCTATCTGGTTTCATGTCTAAAACAAGACTGGTTTCACGTCTAAGTCTGGAGCCTTAACCACTAAACCAAACTGACTTGAAAAGAAAAAAAAAATACTACAGTATAGTGATTCTATAGCACACAGCAAAATCTTGTTATCTTAATGACAGTAAAATGATCTCAGAAAATTATGTTCTTAAAAGCAAAATTATCACTAATAAATGAATAAATCAAAAGTGATATAAAGATAAATAATTGAATCTCTTAAAGAAAACTGAGGAAAAAAATGTTGTCATCCCTTTAAGGTTAATATCACTAAAAAGAATTTTCTGTTCTCAGAACTATTCTTGCTTTACACTCAGACCTTCAAAACTTCTGTTGACTACAATAAAAAATCACAAAACACTAATCTCAGCTTCCCTTAACTTTGAGATTTGCATTCCATTTATGAACTTGCAGATTCTCATTTATCAGTTTGTAACTATGTGTATAACAAAAGAAACCCTACATAGTAAACCATACAGTTATTTCTGCATGTTTTTTTAAATAAATCAGAATTGGTTAGTTGGGTGAATCAGGCTTACTATTACATACAATGGTTCAGCATAAGATACAAATGAACAACATTATTATTAATGTAATCTATAAATTCAGCTTCCTCTGTATTGTTCTGTCAGGTAAGACACTTTGAGACATAATGAGAAATTTAGAGAAGCAAAAGAATTCTGATTCACACTTGGCAAACCAATAAAATCTACTGCCTTATTGAACAGAATGATTACATATACTATTGATAAATTATTACTTTGTAAACAGTGTTCAATAATAATTTTGTTTACAGAAAAAATATATTCATTAGTGTTACCAAATGGCCAAATATGCAAATTAATATATGGTCTTGTGCTGGCCTTATCTGTTTCATCTCAGTTTAACACACCCAATAATTTCTATAAAGTAAAAAAAATGGTGTATTAGCTAATATGCATGTTGCCAGTTTTGTGAAATGTTCACAGTAGTTTTCAGACCAATTAAATGTCTGGATTCACTGAAATTGAAATACTTTTGTTTTCTGTAATTCACTTGCATAATCTTATTACCATGCTGCTTATTAGACCAGATGAATACTTAATGAATTCCTTTGTTTTTAAATCTCAAACAATAAAACCTTGAAATGAGCATTTATATAAACTCAATATGGACAACAAAAAAACCCAACCTAATAGTCTGGACATGACATGCAACCAAATGATAAATACATCAACTGTTCTTTAGTAAATATTATAAATATAAAGTATTCATTATATATTGAAATGAATAACATGTTATCATTATTTATAGTTTTTCTAATACAGCTGTTCCAATTTTGCCCTTCCTGGATAGATTGGTAGAAGCTCTGGACCAACACAATTGAAAGTCACCAGATGTAAGGAGTATGATAACATTTGGTCAATTAAACAGAAACTTGCAAAGGATCCTATCTATTTTCCCACATGGAACAAACAGAAGAGAGGGATTAAAATTACAAACATGTTTTTATTTATTCATATATTCAATTTATATGGCCACCCAGTTGATCTGCAAAGCAGGGTGCATATATATTTAAACCAACTAATTAAAAACATATTTAAACATACGTATCATTAAATAGGAGGACCAAAAAGTTAAGCTATCCTCTACTAGTACTGAGAACTTCACAGATAGTACTTACCCAAAGCAGAAACAATCAACACAGTTCATTATGATGCATCAGGTTTGATCTTATAAAATGTTATTGCAATTACTGTCATCAGCCTTCTTCAAACAACATGAGCCAATTCCCATAATAGTTAATTAATGTGTCCTAATCCACCCCATCTGTTCATCTCAATTCAACATCAAGTTGAGGGCAGCTATCATACATCAAATAATAATTTGTCTCTGGTTTATTGAATTTTAAACAGTCAACAGGGGAAATCATCCATATCCTCAAGGGCTAGGTTGCCAAATCCTTTAATTCAAAAGCACATCTTAATTAGTGGTGGAGTCAGCCTGCTACATAAAAATAAATGTAATAAGGTTTGAAGAAGGAATTTTTTTAAAAAAAGAAGCACTGCTGGAATTGGCAAATGACAAAAGTCACATCATTTTTTTTCTTCCCAATTTTTTAAAATAATGTTCTTATTAAGCAGGTAGGATAAATCCAGAAAAATAGCAGTGATGCAATTTCTTTCAGGAATGGACAAGTAGCTAACATCTTGCAATAGAAATGCATTGTCCATTTGTTAGGGACTTATGTTTTTACCTTCTACCCAACATCAATACAAACTATAGCAAAGTTTGTTTCTTGGGCACAAGTTTCCACACAGGACCAAATTTTACATTACTTTTCAGGAATTAAACTATAAACTTTTATCTTTTTACATGTGGTATTAAAGAGATTTAAGCTTTTCCTATAATAACTACAAATTATATTGCCCAAAAATAATATATTAATTCAGTTTTATTCACTTTAATCCAAGAAATCAGAATATGACAATACTACAAATTCATCTATGTAAAAAGATAAATGTAGAAGTGTAATCACACACCTTATTTCCAGGAGGTTAGTCTTTTAAATAGCAGAAAGTGCCAAACAAAATCATGTAGTTTTGTATATTATGTCTAGCAGGACTGTGGGGTAGCGCACAAGTATTAGAAATGACATTTATAAAAAGAGGATCCCCCAAACTCTATCATGTATGAGTAATTATTTTCTACCTGTACATCACAGATAGCCTTCTGGGTTTTTTGCACTATTGCTTCTCCACTGCAGATGTCATAACTTTGATTCATTGCTAAAGAAAAAATAAATAAAAGAGACATAAAAGAGCTTCTAACAGGAACTATAAAAACTAACGTTCTATTTATATACCTGCCAGCAATTTTAAAAGCAACTTCTTACTACCACATTCAATATAATTCATCATCTTCAAGAAATATTTTGATTACAATTTTAGCTAGTTATATTTTAGTATGTAACTGTCATAGTGTAGCAATAACCTCCTGATGTTATTTCTGTTAATTTGTAGAGTTAACAGAAAGTACAAGCAATATTTACTGTATATTTATTATGCTTCTATTTTACTTCCCTTCCAGAGAAACCACTCGTATAGATACATATTTAGGTACTAAAAAGATATTTCATAGAAATTCATTCATTTTAATTCCAGTAAAATAATGACAAAACAGAAAAACGTCCATCAGTAAAAAAAATAAAAAATAAGAAAAACAAAATTAAAGCAGTGAGGTATCACTACCAGGTTCATTAGTGGGCAGTACTAACCATCAGGAAAACATCTGGGACAAAATCTGCTGTTCTCAGTCGCCAGTGAAGCCCCCTCCCCCCCCAAGCTATGAGCCTGCCTTATTTTAAATCTCCCCTCTTTTTATCTTTACAGGAACTCCTTCAGGAGGTCTTGTCTGCATGTCAATTCCTAGGCATTTCCATGTCAAAGGACCCAGGAAGACAATGTTTGTGCCCTGATGTTCGTCCTTTGGAATATCATGTTCCCTGAGATTAGATTTGCTCTTGCCTGTGATCTTTTGCCTTCTTGTCTGGGATTCTAGCAGTAAGAACGAACCCGTCTTATGACTGATTTGGATGTACTGAATGTTCTCAGAAGTTATTCTATGCTATTGATATTGTGTTTTTTTTTAAAAAAATGGTTGTTTTATCCTGTTTCTGTTAATAATTGTTAGCCACTCTGTCATGTGCATATGAGATAGCAATACTAAGATACTATTAATATTTAAAAAAAAATGACAGCCAAATACTTTATAGCTTCATCCCTCTCTGCAGTAAAAGGCAAACTTCCTGGATCCTAATCTAACACTAATCATTACAGAGATTGCTGACTACATAAAGACACATACTTTATGTAGTTAGTTAGCAATAAAAATTGCTAACCAGAGCAGAATTCTAGCATACTGATATGGTTCACACATTAAACTACAAACATTGTTATAAGCTACAATGACTGCATCACCTAATGTTCTATACCAAATTAAACAAACTACTTTATGACAAAGTAGTTGCCATAGATATTCTAACTTTCATAAAATTCCCTTCTTATTCACTCTTCCACCATAAATTTTTAAAATGCTAGAAAATTTCTCTAGTTCGCAATACCAATGAAATATTTTATTAAAAAATAATGTAAATTCAATCCTTTCAACCAAATTTTTTCCATTGTTCTATATGTATATTATAACCAACATTTTTATTAAACACTTGAGGAAAGTCAGAGCCCCAGAGAAGGAAATATTAAAAGGGCAGAAAAATATATTTCCTCAAAAGGATTTTTAAAAGCAGAAACCAACTCTGCCCCCAAATCTCTCTGCCCCAAGCAGGAGCCAGCCCTTTGTTGTTGTTAATTGCGAAGTCGTGTCCAACCCATCGCGACCCCATGGACAACGTTCCTCCACGTCTTCCTGTCCTTTACCATCTTCTGGAGTCCATTTAAGTTCATACCTACTGTTTCAGTGACTCCATCCAGCCATCTCATTCTCTGTCATCCCATTCTTCTATTGCCCTCAATCTTTCCCAGCATTAGGCCCTTCTCCAGTGAGTCCTTCCTTCTCATTAGGTGGCCAAAGTATTTGAGTTTCAACTTCAGGATCTGGCCTTCTAAAGAGCAGTCGGGATTGATCTCTTCTAGGACTGACCGATTTGAATGCCTTGCAGTCCAAGGAACTCGCAGGAGTCTTCTCCAGCACCATAGTTTAAAGGTCTCAATTCTTTTGCGCTCAGCCTTTCTTATGGTCCAACTTTCACAGCCATACATTGCAACTGGGAAAACCATGGCCTGGACTATATGTACTTTTGTTGGCAGGGTGATGTCTCTACTTTTTAGTATGCTGTCTAGATTTGCCATAGCTTTCCTCCCCAGGAGCAAGCGTCTTTTAATTTCTTGGCTGCAATCCCCATCTGAGGTGATCTTTGAGCCCAGAAAAATAAAATCTTCCCCAGCCCTATACAAACGCAAATGTAAAACCATCAGAAAGTTGGAACCAGAAACTCAAGACAAAAAGACCTAAAATCTGCATACCCCACCCAAACTCTAGGAGCCATTAGCCCCATCACCAGGAAAGCAGGATATGATAATAGGACTAACCCATCACCATAAAGAATACCAGAGAGGCACACCTAAACTCATGTGACACAGGAAATAGCCTCAAAGTTCATGCCACAGGAACAGGAAACTATTCCAAATAAAAGGCTAGAGAAGGTATAAAAACCTATTACCCATGTGCTCAAGCCTTTCTCTGGTCTTTCCTGCAAGAATCATCTTTCTGGCTCTTCAATAAATTGCAACCTTCTTCCTAAAGCAGTCGCCATGTTGTTTATTTATCCCCGGCTTGGATGAAGCAGGATGAAGATTTTATTTCCCACACACTTACTTATTCTTCTGATCCAAATTTTAATTCAAATTTACATATCTTAGTAACTACATATTCATCATTTGTATATAGTTCTATTTGAAACTCAGCCTTACTATGTTCAAAACCACAAATTCTTTTTGTTTACTTTCAGTTAGAAAATTTTAGATATTAATATACAATTGAAACTGGAGATTTTTGAGGTGGGTAGATAAAACAGTTATGGAATTTTGTTTTTATAACTGTAGTAAGATCATTACATGCAAAATCCGCAAAAAAATTGTTACTACACACAGTGAGCGGTTGTTAAAGATAACTGAATTTACTGAGATAATCAAATAGACTACTTTGATCAGAAAAAAATAAGTTTATTTCTAATAAAAACTTTTGCAGACTTTTTGAGTGAAACAGTTAAAAATAAATGTATGATTTGTAATTTTGATTATAAGAAAGAATATAGAAAAGAGAGTTATTTTGCAACTATAGAGCAAATATAAATTTATAATTATAATAACTGCTCTAAAGACAATCAGAAGTGGCTTCTTTGCATCTTTTTTCCTTCTTTGCTTTCATACGTTCAATTCTTTGTTTGATTTTGTTTTCCTTTTCTTTTTCTTATTATATATTAGCAGTGCTTTTTTTCTAATAAAAAAAATGCCAGAATTCACACACATCATACAACCCACCTTGCCTACACTACATGGTTCCATCCCAAAAAGGTGCCGAAACTCCGTTCTGGACATTCTATGACAAAAAAAGCCCTGTATATTAGTTAATTTTTCTTACATTTTTAAATAACAATACATGAGTGCCTGTATGTTTTCCTCCCTCTCTCTCTGTGAGTGTGTGTGAGAATAAATCTCTTTCTCTCTCTCTTTCCCCGCCCTGTGTGTGTATGTGTGTATGTGTGTATGCACGGATATGTGCACATGTGTGTGTATAAAAGGGAAGTAGTATAAAGTGCAGTCCATCAAAATCAGTTAGCTCTAAGAATTATTTTCTAAGATTCTGAATATACTATATAGAAAATACAGCAGTCATTCAGCTTGAATTCTAAACAAGTCCAGCTTCCTTTTCTGCATATACAAGGACACATGAGCAGTGGTGGGATTCAAATATGTGAACAACTGGTTCTCTGTGTGGATGTCGCTTCCGGAAGTCCATTCTGGGCCTGGGCAACAAAAAATTAGCTACCGGTTCTGCCGAAGTGGTACGAACCGGCTGAATCCCAACACTGTACATGAGCACATATGTAAATATTCATGGGAAATGATTAAATATATACATATCTATCTCCATTGTAAAACTCTTTTTTTGGCACTATTGTAATGGTTGCTGAATGAGAGTTCAATGTTAGAACAATCTGTACTCCAATCATGTCTCATTTGTATCCTAATATGTCAGAAAATAGGTGAATTTTGGCAATTTGATTTTTCTCATTCTTTTACTTCAAAATTGAGTATGTGCTCCTATTTAAACCACAGTCCAAATGACTCATATATAGGTCCAGGTTTGACTAATGCAGATAGGAATAAATATGGGAAACCTCTGAGCAGCCAAACCAATCTCTTCAGTAGCCCATAAAATGCCTTTAAAATTGTTTCAAAATCTTGAATTTCACAAATGTTTAAAATTTAAATACTTAGCAATTCTTCAGAATCTTTGGGCTGTCATAAGACTTCCAATAAAAATGCCTATTATGGCAACAGAAAGAATCTGCTCAGTGCCTTGTTGAAAGCAAAAGAAGGCATTTTTATAACTGGAATGCAAAAGCTATAGATAGAACCATACATGCATTCAATAATGCACAAACAGGGTAACTAAAGAACAAAGAATTCAGTCAATTTTATTACAGTTACATCTTGTTTATTCCTGTTTTTTGCTTTATCCGTGCAATAAGGCTCAGCTCCATTAATAAATGAAAGGTAGAATATTAAATAACATCAGGTCGCTGAAGTGTAATTTCAAATGCATTCAAATCCCCATAAGCCTAAGGAATTTAGGATGCTGATTTTTTAATAGCCACTTAATGTGGACAGCAAGAAGCATTTTCCTTCAAGATTTTTAACATAAAACAAGTAATGGAGTAAAGGTCTTACTAACAAAATGGATTGCTATTTTTGCTAAGCAAGGTTTATTTGATTTCTTCAATAAGAATAGTCTTCTCTGTCCTTAATGGAAGATTCACTTGATACATAATAATCATGTATTATTTCTTTCAGTTAAAATTAAGATTACTCCATAGTAATTCCATTATTGGCTTCTACTTTTATTGGTTTAGCAAAGAAAAATCTTATGCCAAACTGAAATCTATGTAAAACAGAATTGAAATTAAACTTACTTCCACAAGATGGTTTACAATGGATTTAAAAAAGAAATCAAGAGTATGCCCTTGTCTATTATCAGAATTGACTGT